AATGACATGGATTTTATAAACCAATGTCCTTAGATATCCATAGATATCTGTGGTAATTTTAGTGTGTGTACATCTGTGTTCACTGTTGTTCATTGTTCCATTTGTTTGTCATCAGGAGTGCTTCTAAATGTAAACAGGTAAAACTTAGAAATACAGAAATATGTACAAAAAAACGTTACAGCATGCAGATGGTACTTCAAAAATAAAAGTGATTTTTAAAATGATCTAACTACTAACTTTTACGCCATGTCAAACCTAGCACCTCTTCAGATATTTCAAATAATGTTTTACATTTTCAAAGAGAAGTCTATCTTAGGTTATATACATATATATTACACATCTAAATAAAATGTGTACTCACCAAATGTTTTTGAAAGGGGTTGGTAGATAAACTAGGAACCTGGATATAGTAACCAAACCATGACATCAGCAGAATACCATATGCCAATGATGCTAACAAGATCCCTTGCAAATGGCCTTGCTGGCCCAAAGCTCATTTCCCCAGAGTGGCATCCCTGGTAATCTGAGCTAGCCACACCATTTCTCCAATCTTAGAATTACTCTCTGTTGCCATGGTTTAAAAATAATCTTGCCAATGCCAGTTTCTAAGTCCTGGTCCTAAATTTCTATTTTAAATTAATAATTTTAATTCACAGTGTTCCTACAAGTAACATAGGGGAGCTACTTGGTGCCCATGGCCATTCATAAAGTAAGGCAATTAATTAATCAGGAAAGCAGAATCCACATCTATACTGGACTGGAGTAACTTCACTGAATAAATATGCAAATCCGATATCCTCAAGGCTGACAAGTTTCTATTATTAAACTGCTAACGTGTTTATTTCTCCCACAATAGCTAGATTTTTTTCATGAATACGAATTAAACCCTGTAGTTAATAGCTGTGATGACTAGGTGACAGTGAGGACACTACTTGAGAACCTGCATTTGACAGATCATTGACACACAGTCACAGTTCCTTTTCACTTAAACAGGAATCATGCAATAGGAAATGAGCTGGAGCGATTAGAGATTATTCAGGTTTAATAGCATACATCCTTTTAGCTGGCGTTAGAACAATACACAATGTGGCGGAGTTAAACAGAGGCATCAATTATACTCTCAGACCTGCTAATATTTTTGACAATATTTAAATAGCACATCCCTTCAGGGCACGGCTTTTTTGCCCTCTCAGTTACACACCTGTCAAGTGTTTAATTTGCCAAAGGGAAACAGTTTGATTTCTAAGGGCAATCTTAGTACTGTAGAAGCAAATTGGAAAAATTAAACATCATTGAATGGAAGTAATGAGAAGGATTGGAGGGGAAAAAATTGCAGGTTTAATTCAACACGGCATGTCAGCATCTGTCATTAATGCAACAATATGATCATGCTCTTCAGCATGCCATATACACCTCGAGCTTTTCAATTATTCACTTCCTTTGCTTTTCTGAAAGACAGAGAATGATACTAGGCATGGGTAGGAGGGCTGGCTATAGTAAAAAAAAAAGAGATGAAAGCAATTAATTTCCACCTGCTGTGTATATAAAATTGTACGTTGAAAACATAATATAGGTATTGGGCAACAAATTAAAACTAGCAATGGGTAATTTGTATGGTCACTTGATTAAAAGCATGAGAAAATCTTATTCTTTATATTAATTGTTAAATTATAAACATTCACAATTTTTAAGTCTAACACAACAGTCTAGAAATGTAAAATTAAAATTTAAAATAGAAAATAATATAATTGTTGAAATGATACTAGATTTGTATAAAAAATAAAAACAAATCTGCTGAGTAAAAGGAACTGCCAAAGAAGCAGAGATCCACAGCTAAGCACTGATCCAAACTCCTAGAATCCAGTTGTAGAGAGGGAGGAGTGATGAACAAAGGGATCAAGACCATGGTGGGAAAACCCACAGAAACAGCTGACCTGAGCAAGTGGGAGCTCATGGACCCCAGTCTAACAGCTGGGGGGAACCAACATAGGACTGAACCAGGCCCCTGAATGTGGATGTCAGTTGGGAGGTCTGGACAGTCTATGGGGCATCTGGCAGTGGAACCAGGATGTATCCCTAGTGCACCAATGGACTTTGGATGCCCATTCCCCATGGAGGGATACTCTCTCAGCCTAGACACACAGAGGAGGGCCTAAGTCCTGTCCCAAATGATGTGAAAGACTTTGATGATCCTTCCTGGAAGGCCTCACCCTCTCTGTGGAGTTAATGGGGGATGTGACTGGGGGATCGGTCGGGGGATCGGAGGAAGGGAGGGAGAGGGAACTGGGATTGATAAGTAAAATAAGACTGTTTCTAATTTAAATAAAATTTATTTTAAAAAGGAACTGGTATAGAATGGCATCCACCTATACTAGACTGGAGAAACTTTACAGAATACATATGCAAATCAAGAATCTCAAAGTCCTGGGAAAAGTCACCAATCTTTGAGAAATGCATAAGCATCAAGTCTATCCTTGAAAGAAACAAGAAACAAAAAGTCTAAAACAGGCTGCAGATACCAAAGGCTGTAAAGAAACCAACAACTTATAGCTCTGCCTTATAAATGTATCACTTCCCTTCTTGGGCCTTTGTGACAAAGAGAGCACAGCTACATATTCCTCTCCTTTTCTACTTGTATATGACAAATGGCTAAGGAAACAAAAGTTCAAATACATCTAGGACATGGCAGCAGAATTCAAAGGCCTCACAACATAATCTTGAAATATATATTGTAAAAATGTAATATAGAGTCCAGTGGCTGCTCAGGACACAATATCCTGCAACAGCTCCTGCCTTTCACAGATGCCGACCTACTGAGACACTGTCTGTGAGTCCCTAATTAGTAGACTTCTTGGTGCCATGAGCTTCCCACCTAAGAAGTGTATTTATATCTAAGGAGGTATTGTTGGCCACACATCCTGATGCTATCCCCTACGCTGCCTCCTGCCTGGGAATTCAACAGTCTAATTGCAGACTTGTACTAGGAAACACCCCCCATGCTCATAATGTTTAGGAAGACCCATGTGTATCCCGACTTCCTCTATTTAGTGTCCTCATCATGCTATCTATGTCTGGTGCTGGGACCTAAACTCTTCTGGGAACTCTGGCCACAATGTTGTCTGTCGATCTGTCTTTATAGAGTTAAATAAATCTTACATCCTCACGGAACAATTTCTGTCTCAGTATCCTCTATAGTATCAGACTTTCCTATATAAGTAAGAAAAACCACAGCAGGCTATATATTTGGTCATAGAAAGTGAAATTCGCTAGAGTACTCAATAGATTACCCAGAAGGCTTCATGTGAATCATGAAGGCCCACATAGCCTTAGAGCTCCATCTTATGTCCACTTAGAAAAAGCAGAACCAGTGCAACCTGTAGGCAACTGGTGTCCTTTCATCAGACACAGTGGACCCAGCCCTCTTCCCTGCAGAAGACTGGCTAGAATGCAAAGATCCACCTACCTCACTTGACAACCTGTGTTATTTTAATACTCGATATATGACTGAACTTTCCGCTCATTAAAACTATGTGTTCACACAATACACTAAGAAGACCTCTGTTCAATGTCCTTACACTCTGGAAAAGAAAAAAATAAACCCAGATAATTTCCCAAGCCATGTTTATGCTTATATTCTAGATACTAATTTCTTCAAAAGCTTGCTAATCCATCAGTATTGAAAACCAATATTTTCCAATAACTTATCAAGAGGAAAAATGCATACATACAACAAAACTCCTTTTTACATTTATAACCATGACTTTTTAAATAATTACGCTGATACTTACAACAGAAAATAGATTGTGGGAGCTTATTGTGTCTCCATATTACCATGCACGTGCAGGTGTATATGGACTTGTAGGATCCTTTGTTTCTTTTTCCTCAGCACTGCACCACCCAGCTTGTCTGTTACTGTTTCCATCTGCTTGTTAATAGAGGGTTCTGGGGATGGGGGCACTCTGTTGATTAAGCTATCTCCTTGGCCCAATAGAAAATATTTCTGAAGATTCTTTTTATTTCTGTGGAGTTCCAGGAGCATAGCAGAATCTGGGTGAGTTTGGAGGCACTGAGCTTGCTCCTCTACTGTCCATCTGTTGGTATCTGGAACATCCATCCCATTAGAATTGTTCCTTCACTGAATTATGAAACTAGTTTTTTAAGTTTCATTTTTATCCTTTTAAGGCAGAATGTTTGCTAGCAAGACATCCATAACCATTAAATTAATACTAAAAACATGACACACAATTTAACTGACTTCAAACCCTAAGAGGATAAGATCTGTTTTAAAAATATTTTAAAACCTGTGAAATGGTGATTAAATTAAGTAGGTTCAAAGAACATCTGACTTTGGTTTTCATTCTGTCATGTGATATGCTTTCAGTTTTAATATAAATGTTCAAACTTTTTAATGTTCATAATTTTTACAGGGAATAAAACATGGTGTTACATTTAGAAATCCTAATGTTTATCACCATCTGATGCTGTCATGGAAGCAAGTGCTACTTGCACACTCTTAAGAAGTGAGAATTGCAGCTCCTTTAGCTGATGACAATGTAATTATCCTCTTACTGTCAAAATAGAGGTGACTTCCCTTTCTCACACACATGATTAAACATACAAATTCATGCTACTCTGAAATCCTGTAGCTGTACTGGATGTCTGAATGTGAATGAGCAAGATCACATGAACAACAGGGCTTGGTGATGATGAAAACCAAGTCTGCAGCCACCCAGCCCAAACATTTGCATCAGCCTTCCTCCTGTGGGAGCTCGTGTCTAAGCATCCACACGAGCTTTCAACATAATGTCACATCATCGGCAACAACGGGTACAAAAATAACTAGCAGGGAAAAGCCACAGTGAGTCTCAATGCCTGTTAGTGGTTTAAATGATTCCATTATTTATTAATACACACAAAAGCCAGCCTTTGGAAAAGCACAAGCCTTTTTTCACAAGATCTTTAGGACATCATGAGGACCACCTTGCGTGATGACATCCTACCTGGTCTTTCAGCTGCTGTAGAGAAGTCTGAAGGTTTAGAATCTGACTGAAGAGTGGGCTCTGCAGGACAGACTTCAGGAGGCTCAGTTTATCTTCATTTGCAACATCCCCACGCTCCTTTAGCTTGTTTTGCAAGCGCTCTGCTGCCTGCAAGGCTCTGTTTTTGTCTATTCCGAAGAGAAGCATCAGTCAATAATAAGATTGAAATAAGACTTGTCAAATCCATGAAGACGCTGCACCTTTAGAAATTCTAAAACAATTCTAAGTGCACAGCCTTGTCAATAGTTTAACTGAGTGCAAAGCTATACAAAAGCACTTTTTAAATCAGTACAAGGACACTCTTTAATGTTTAAATATTTTCCTCAACATTAAATAGTATATTTACATGTGCTTCAAAACAATCCAGCTGCTTCATTAGATTTAGTAACTATAGGTATACTACAACTTCTCACTGTAAATCTTTAAGTCTCTTATAATGAAATTCATTTTAAGAGCAGGAACAAGGTATAAGGCACACGTAGGAGACAGTTGTAAAGTCATAGACACTGATGCAAATAATGTATAACTGAACTCAGTGCCAGATGTTTCAGCTCTTTTGAAAATCACATAAAGTCTTCCATGACCTTAAAAATCTAATCTCTTCTTTTTAAAAAAGATACATGAAATTATATATATATATATATATATATATATATATATATAAGAAAAATTAATAATTAGCCCATTAAGTGGATGTGGATGCCACTGATGAGTTACCTCCAAAATACAATAATTTCATATAGTAGAATTTAAAGTATTCTATGCTTGATAACTAAGGAATAATCAATACTAGATATTTCAAAAGTGCTGTTTCAACCCTTTTAATGCAATACCCTGAAATTAAATAGCACATTTACAAACACTCCCAACCAATATAATTCAAATCACCATTAAACATATTGCAAATCAGATATGCTATGGAAGTGAGCATTTTCAGTATGCCCTAATGGTCCTAGTACATGCTTCCACCAATGAATTTCAACACATTCCTGAATTACACAGACATAGGGTCTTTTCTAAGTCAAATTTGTTTCCTCAAGTGGAGATTATGCAAGTATGTCCTAAGCCAGTCATGACAGCAGCATGTGCACCTATTGCTAATCACAGTAACCAGAAAAGAGGGATCATCAGAGACAGTGCTTATAGCACCACATCTGGCATTCCTCAGATCCTGGGCAATTAAATACAAAATCTATCGCTAATGAGTATATACACACAAACAAGATGAAATAAACAACACTGTTCCTGCAGAAATTCTAAGCAAAGAATGATAAAGATACACGTGAAAATTTTGTTGATTGTATGTTCTATGTTCCATGGTAACTGGGAACAAAAATCTATTACTAATGTTTACATCAATTCTGAAAATGTGTGCTACTTAGTAACTAGTAAGTGCTGACAGAATGAAATCTAGAAAGCAGTGGTTTAATGGAAGCCAGACTTTTCCTTTCCTTCTCTTGTATTACAAGGAACTTGCCTATGTGCTCCAACAGTTTTTTTTTTTTTTTTTTTTTTTTTTTTGGTTTTTCGAGACAGGGTTTCCCTGGGGCTTTGGAGGCTGTCCTGGAACTAGCTCTTGTAGACCAGGCTGGTCTTGGACTCACAGGTATCTGCCTGCCTCTGCCTCCCGAGTGCTGGGATTAAAGGCGTGCGCCACCAACGCCCAGCTGCTCCAACAGTTTTTATGGCCTATGATTTCAGTGCGGAACGGGGCATGGAAAATATATCCACACTGAATTTTATGATCAGAGTAGGAACAGAATCAAAAGTCCAATGTCACAAACAGCTCTTTTTTCCTTTATTGTCCCAGTCCATCAAAACTGGCAACTGTGGAGACATTGTCCTAGTGCCAGAGTGAACTGTGCATACCCTTCAGTACCCAGTCTCCCAGGAGTGACCTGGAGAAGTCACAGTGCTGACATGTCACAACCTGCAACGTGTGCCATACCTGGCACAGCTTTCTCTCATCAACTGTTTCTAAAACTACACTGCAGTGTGGGAAAGAAAGGAACACACAAGCAAAGGAGATCAAGATCTCTCAGCCTAAATCTTTCATGTAGACACTAACTTATTTGAAATGGAACTGGGAGATGACTGCCATCCTAGCGGGCAGAGCCACGCACTTAGCACCACCTTACTGGCACTAACAAGTGACTGCTGCAATGCTAACTTACTGTGAAGCTTTCCAGGGGGACCCAAACGCCAGGACTGTGTTTATAAAACAAAACAGAGTCTCTCTCTCTCTCTCTCTCTCTCTCTCTCTCTTTGGTTTTTTGAGACAGCGTTTCTCTGTGTAGCTTTGGAGCCTAGCCTGGCACTCGCTCTGGAGACCAGGCTGGCCTTGAACTCACAAAGATCCACCTGTCTCTGCCTCCCGAGTGCTGGGATTAAAGGCTTGTGCCACCAACGCCCGACCAGAGCTTCTCTTAAGCTTATTAAAACTCATAATGTATTGACTATATATTTACTTTTGATTATGATTTGATCTGCATAACCATGTGAATACATTTTTGCAAATACAGAAATCCATTACCCAGTTCAATGCTACTAGATAAAAAAAAAATTAAAACCATGTTCCTATAGCTATGTAGAACACAGCATACTAAAAAAGCAGTGGAAGCATGTTCAAGTCTGACAAAAACAGGGAGAAATGAGGAAGTCTTACCTATGGTCTCCAGCATCGTTTTCAGAGTTCAGTGTTCTCTATAATGATTCAAAACACCAACTAAAATGAAACTCTGAGGAGAAAGGAAATAAAATGGAGTCATTGTGTTTTAATAAAAAGACTAAAAAGTGTTCAGTACTTTTATAATTTCTTTATTAAAATTATAATGACTTAAGTTCAACAGTTTTCTTCATATGCAGCAAAAAAAAAAAAAAAAAAAGTCATTTTGACCTACCAACTGCAAAGCTGGGGAGAACTAACTGCAACACTCTGGAGAGTAGGCCCCGAACCTTACCAAGGCAACACAACAGATCCAACCCTGTTAGCTTAGATGTGGGTGAACCAGTCACAAATTTGTGAGCATGGGAGAGCTGCCCCCATGTGCCATCTGGTGGACCAACCCTGCAGCTGTCCAGGACCAGACCCAGGGTTATGACTTAGCCTGCCCCAACATCTATAATCTGCTGGAGCAAGTGAAGAAATCTGACCTGCAGAACTAAAGCTGCAGGATCTCCACAACACAGGGCAACAGTGGGACATACAGGAAGAGGACCCAACATTGACCTTGTAGTGGAGACCAGGGTACTCTAACCAGACCAATTACTCTTTGCAATGAACACTTGCAAGTAGAGATGTATGGACCAAGGAGTACGGTGACACTTGGGGGGCAGTGCAGCTTCCATGATGAGATTTTTAATTCCTTCCTTCCCTTTTAAAATTTTTTCTCATTTTATTTTCTTCATTTTTAAATCTTGAATTGTGGTTTTTTTTTTTTTTCTGGGGAGGGGGGCAGGGGTGGAGGGCAGATTCGAAGGAACCAGGAATGAATGGGACAAAGATACATTAGGTGAAAAACATAGAATAAATAAATTTTATTAATAAAAAGTCATTTTAAAACTTTTATAACTGTTGCAATAAGGCAAAAGTACTGTTCTAAACAAGATGTGAAAGTGTACAAAGCCTTTCCTTAGCAGCCTCTTAAGACAGACCACCAGCATCTGGAATTAACAGCAAGACTCTCATGCCACAGAACAGAAGGTTCACTTGTGTGCACAGAAGAAATTCTGTTAGCAACACCTTGAAAGCTGTTATCTTGTCTCAGATGCCCACAGCCCTAACTGGGAAGACAATACCACTGAAAATAGCCTTTGACACCACCACAGTCCATGAATCCCCTCAGGACAATGCATTAAACTGGGGATTATAAACTTAATTTAAAAAAAAAAGGAACAGTGTTACATCTTCAAAGGTTTTCAAAATATCTCCCTGAATAGAATGTTCTCCCCCCCCCAAAAAAAAAACAAATAAAAAGCCCAACCCCAAAGTTTGCCAATTGTTTCAACTCACACAAGTCTTTTGCTAACACTTCCTTCACTAAGCTCTTTGAAATAGTGGACACAGTGGACACAAATCTGCAAGGCCATTGTCAATGACCATCTCCAAGCCTTATTCCCTAGCTATTCTTTACAGCCACCTCCATAACTCAACCTCCTCACTGCCTCAGTGTCTCCAGGAGAGAGCCAAAAGAGTTTACATGATTCTTCCTCATTTTAAAAAGTAGAACAAGTTCTTACTGACCAAAAAAAAAAAAAAAAAAAAAAAAAAAAAAAAATTTTTTACAAAAAAAAAAAAAAAAAAAAAAAAAAAAAAAAAACAAATGTCATTGACCAAACAATATCACTTGGTATAATGGCATATGTAAGAAAATGCCACAATGAAGCAGATTACTTTACATGCTACTAAAAAATGTTAAACATCACAACATATATGAAAATGAAAAAAAAGTTCTTCTTCACTCTTGGTCTTGAAAAAAAAGCAGGCCATAACTCTAAGAATCAGCAAGTTGGCCCCAACCCACTCTTTACAGGAAACTACATTTGGAAAACTAGATGGTATGTGATGTGGTCAAACAACCGCATGGAACACCGAGGCCTGCCATGCCTGCCATGCCTGCCATGCCTGCCATGCCTGCCATTTGCTCTGGGCAATAATGAGGGCAGTGTTTACTTTCTGTTCCAGATTTGGAAGACACTGACAATACCAGCTCCATTGCACATAGAGAGATATCACAAAGAGTGGTGCTTCTTTGAAACAGTTCCCAAGTATCAGGAGAAGGCCCTGACTGAGAGCTAGAATTGAAATCAAAATAGCTACATGGCCTTAAACAACAGGTCTAGCATCTCAACCTCAACTGCCCAGAAAACAAAGTCATTTATTGTATACTCTAAGACAAAATGAAAAGGATAACATGGCAAGTTTTAGTTTACAAATGCTACAGGGGGATCTCATAAATAAACCACAAATATTTTAATTTTATAAAGAAATTTTAATTGTCCTCCATAAAATAGGCTATTACTAAATACCCTTTCAAAAAATTAACCCCTTGATTGATTGATTGATTTCTGTGCTGATGGAGATGAAATACAGAGATTTGTGATTCTGAACAGTCAGTCTTCAAAAACTACCTTCCGTTCCTCAGAAGACAGTAAATAATACAGAGACCCACAGCTGGACAGTATCCACAGAGTAGGAGACTTTGGAAGACTCAGTCTTAAATTGGATGTCTTCATCAAAGCTCTTTCTACTCAAGGCTCAAGGATCTATGCAGAAGAGGAGGCAGAAAGGCTGTGAGAGCCAGAGGGATTTGATGACTCCAAGGAGCCAGTATCCTGCAAGCACAACAGGTATGCAGGTAAGAACTTACAGAGACAGTACCAGCATGCACAATGCCTTCCCAGGTATATGCTGGATGGGGTCATAGAACTGAAAGAGGAAAGTGGACACAGGGTCCCATTCCTAACCAAGAAGCTACTTGTAACTGATGGCTTCTGGCAAAGAAAAAAAATCAGTTTTCTTCAATGGAGTTTCACTGAGCATGTCAAATTCACTTCAGGCCAGGCCACATACCCAGGAGTAGTTGGCCAGCACAAAATGAACTTCACTGGTATTGTGCACTTTTTGCTTCATTTTGCTTTGTATTGACTTTTTTGTCTTAATGGTCTTTGGTTTACTACTGTGATGTTTGTTTCATTGGTTTTGTGTGTGACTGAACTTTTTCAGTCACACACAAAGGACAAGAACTTTTTCTTTTTTAAGTTGTTCTTTTCTATGCCCTATACCCTATGCCAAAAATTCATTTCTAATTATAAACAAACTTGTAAGAGCAGCTCGATTGCAGAGCTGAAGGAGATAAAACACGATCAAAATATACTGTATAGAAACTTAAATAAAAGAATATGAATAAAATAAAATTACCTTCTCTTAATTTATTTATCTATTCTGAATCTGAGAATATTTAGAAATAAGTAACAAGAAAACAAGTTTTTGAAAGAAAAAATGTTATTAATATACTCAATAGAATCTTGAACAATACACATTCCCTGAAAATTCAGAAAGATGGGCAATGTTAAGGACTTGCTCGGAGACTAGCAGGCTTATGAAGAATCCACAGAGGAGATCCCAACTGAGAAAAACACTATTGCCCACATTCAGCTACAAGCCAGGGAGGGAGAAACAGAAGGACATGCTCCCTCTACAAACAGCACTTACCACAAGGGTTAAAATGGAAGACAGCTCAGCAAGTCACAGACAGCAGTTTCCAGATAAGATCATTACTCCTGCAGATTTCAGAGATTTAAAACGAAGTTAACAAAACAAACAGAGAGCAGTTCCACAGCTGGTCTACTCCTTTAGAGGTTTCCATGGGATTTCCATATCAACAACTGTGATAGGACAAGAACTTTTTCTTTTTTAAGTTGTTCGTTTCTATGCCCTATACCCTATGCCAAAAATTCATTTCTAATTATAAACAAACTTGTAAGAGCAGAACTTTGGGGACATAAAAGCATCAAATTTACTCCCTCCAAACTACTGACACTAATTCTCCTACTCACCTTTCAACAATCCTTCCCTTTTTACATCTCACCATCATTGTAACTGTTCGATTACATGGACAAATCAAAAGCCCCCAACCTGTGCACTGTTCACAGCATGTTACTCAATTATTCTCTTAATCTTCACAGTCCACTTGCTTACACAAGAGGAAGCAGGCACAGGGCAAGTCCCTTGTTGCAGGTGACATCACCACTATGAAGCCACAATTTGAACACACAGCCTGGCTCTAGAGTGTACAGTTCAACTACTTCAAAACACTGCCTCTTAACAGGAAAAAATTCACCATTCTTTTTCTCCTTTCCAGGGGTAAAATTACCATGCAAACCATTCCCTGATTTCCTACTTTGCTCTTTGATGCTGTGATAAAACACTGACCATAACCAACCTGGGGAGAGCAAGTTTCTTTGGTTTACATTTCCCCAACACAATCCATCATTGGAGGAAGTCAGAGCAGAAACTCAAGCAGGAACCTGGTGACAGAAACTGAAGTAGAGGCCGTGGAAGAATGCTGCTTACTCTCTTGCTCTTAAGGCTGGCTCAGCTTGCTTTCTTATGCAACCCAGAACTATCTGCATAGGAGTAGTACAGACCAATCACTAAACAAGACAATGTCCCTCCACTTCCTATTCAAGCATAGTTTATGTCAAGTTGATTAAAAAACAAAACAAAAACCTTACCTGCACTCCATACATGATTAAACCAATGAAAAAAACTAAGCTCAGTGTAAATAAAGTCTAAAATTAAATAGACTTTAATATACTGGTATATATACATTCAACATAGCCAGTTATCAGCACAATCTGAACAAGTCAGAACTATGTAATTTTAGAACCTATGGCTAAGTCCTGTCAGAGAAAGATAACATTCATCGTTCATCACTTACATGACACTCACATATTTTAAATAATCACCTTTAAAATGCAGTATTTTAGGAAAATTCCTCAAGAAAAAGTAAATCTATACTAATGTCCAAAACATGGCTGTTGCATTTCAAGTGCTAGGACTAAATCCCCCAACACAGGGAGAGCCACAGAAGTAGTGGCAACGATCCATGTATTCAACTTGTAGTCATATAACCATCCGGTTATAAATGAGCCTAAAATCTGTTTCAGTAGCCACACACTAGGAAGAACAGGACACATCCACTCAGTGGATTTGGTATTGGGAAGGATGCTGACTATCTTGCTGCCCACAGTAGTACCCTTTGGTGCCCCACATACTGTTCTCCTGTCTTCCAGACAAGAAAGATGTGATTGATGTTTTTGCAAAGTCACAGAGCTCTTACGTGGGGGAAGTTGTACTTGAAATCCCTGTCTGACTTCCAAGCCCACACTCTAGCATATTGCCCCTATTTGTTTAGAGAGGTTCTGGCCAAGTAGTATGGGCTGACCGAAATCTCATTATGTAGTCCTCAAGCTCTTAATCCTCTTCCCTCAGCCTACGGGTAAGTATGTGCTACTGAACTCAGCTTCTACTCTGTATTGTCCATATCGTCCTGAAACTAAAATTACACGGTAGAGGTACCAATTTTTTAAAAGAGAATGTATAAGATGGTGTTATTACTATCTACATAAAAAAGAATATAAAATGTATTATAGGTGGAAATTAATAGAGACATATTTGCAAGAAGCATAAAAGTGCGTATTTGTAAAAGCTATTTCAATGTTTTCCCACAAATGCTCACAGTGACACACAGTAAGCCAGAGGGGAGAAGAGAAACCACTGAGCACCACATTCTTTAACTGCATCTTACCTGAGCACTGTCAGGTTGAACAAATATAAACACAATGCCTACTTAAATTTGAATTATAGGAAAATGAATACTTTTTATGTGTATGTCTCTTGGAATACTTCAGAAATATTTATGCTACATTCCAATTAGGTGCATATCTAAAATTCAAATTAACTGAGCTTTTAATTGACAACCCTATTATTTTTGTGTTTGTTTAGGAATACTAAACCTAAAATATCATTTATAATTTTAGGCCTCTGTGCTTTCTGTAATTTTGTATGATAAAGACAGTTCCCAGATCCTTACTAAGTCTTTGAAGACATTGCCATAAGATTCCCCAACAATGGGTTGATAAGATGTTTTCTGCAAGGAGTGAAAAATAAACTGAATATTTGGTTTTACTGAGGAGCAAGTGCTAACTGGCTGTTTTGCTTTCTGACAAGCTATTCTGGAAGTATGCAGGCACAGACCGTCTACAATTTGAACCTGTGCTTCAAATAGCAAATTATCTGCATGACGCAGATCTCATGCAACTAGCAAGTGAAACTGTTCTGTTCTAGTATTTCAGTTTGCTTTCTATTTGCTGTGAAAACACCAGGACCAAAAGTAACCTGGAGAGTAGGTAGGTTTATTTCATCTTTGCAGGTTACAGTCCATCATGAAGGGAAGTAGTCAGGGTAGGAACTGAAACAGAGACCATAGAGGGATGCAGCTTACTGGCTGGCTTTCCATGGCCCACTCAGCCTGCTCTTATGCAATCCAAGACCACCTTTCCAGGTTCCAAGCACACACAGCAGGCTGGGCCCTCCTGTTGCTTGCTTCTGGATGTACATGCAACACAAACATTTAAAAGTCTCATTCTGGGAAGCGATGGGGAACCCAAACATAAATCTATTTCAATTAAAAGAAACTTGTTATCTTTCATATATATTCAAATGACAAAGCACTATAATAAAGCCATGACATATAATACCATAGGAAACTGTATTAACGTAATTACATAAACAAGTTCACAGACAGAAACCATTGCTTTAACTGAGAATGCACGTGCTTTAAAGAAGTATGAATAAAAATAACTTTATTTCATTCCATTTCCTAGAAATTTCCTAACATTATTGACCTCCTTCCTTTTCTTAAGAATTCCCCCCTTTTTAGAGAGATAAAGATTCCCACCTAGAAGAAAAAAATACATGGAAAATAAAAGTTTAAGCATTTTTTTTTTTTTGGTTTTTTGAGATAGGGTTTCTCTGTGTAGCTTTGGAGCCTATCCTGACATTTGCTCTGGAGACCAGGCTGGCCTCGAACTCACAGAGATCTGCCTGCCTCTGCCTCCCGAGTGCTGGGATTAAAAACATGCGCCACCATCGCCCAGCAAGTTTAAGCATTTTATTAGTTATGGATTATTATATAACAAATGCATTCAAACTAGCAAATATTCATTAATTTTGCTTTAATTTTCAAAACTTTTTAAAGTTACTTTTATTTTTTCCCCTTTATTTTTATTTTCAGTGTATGGGTGTTTGGTCTACATTCATTTTTTTAGATGGTTGCCTGGATATGAGGTATTCTCATCCTTTCAAAATGTATTTCCTTCCTAAATTACAGGTACAGCAAAACATAAAAATACTGTTTTTATAAAAAAAAAAACTTCTACTTCCTGAGTTATAAATTTAAATTAGAATTTGTAATGTTTTTTAGTTCAATTAGTTTATTCCCTGCTTTTACTCTACTATGATCTCAATTCTCAAGCTGGAAGAAGACACAAAACACATATAGATGACACACTATGTGCTCACTTGGGTTGATCCACACAAGTCAGTGGATTCTGAGTTTTATAGTTTAGAGCTGTTGCTAACTTTCAACTATCAAGCTGGCGGGGCATGTTTAAAGTATATTAGAATTCTGTTTAGTCATTGTATTATTTACGTCCTTCATCTCCACCTTCATTAAGTTTTTTTAAAGAATTCAAAATAAACATTAAAATAGGGTTTCCACCCACACCCCTGTATGACAGGACCCTGCTCTCAAGTCAACTGCCATCATCGTCCTGACTCAGAAAGTGATGCTTCTAAGCATGAAGATTTACTCTCTTCTGTTCTCTCACTCCCTAGTGAAAATCAAAGGAATTTGGGTTGTTGGGCAGTTTGCCCCTGTTCACTACCATATTTTCAGTGTTAAGGGCCAAAATACCAGATGCCAAACATATTTGTTGGACAGAACCAGGCACAGGGCTTCTTCCAAGGGTGGCTCAGGCAGATAAATGTGTCAATACAAGATTGCAGATGCAGCCTGGAGTCCACATAACACACACTCCCACCACTGTGTTTTTGTGAGTGGCCTCAAATACACAGAAGGATAAACTCTGTGGCACAGAATTCTCAGGTGTAATTACTATACTGGAAATGAATTCTCTAGAGAAGTTACTACTGGCTCCCGCTGTTTGCCCTTTTGCCTGCCTGGAATGAGGCAATTCCCCAGGGAGCATGGGCACACTGTGTCCTTGTTGCTTATAAAATGCATAGAGACTCACACATCCCCATGGACACTGAAGCATAGCTGGCAGTTGGTCTACAATAGTTTGATGCTACAGGAGAAGGGGCTGGTACTGAAGATGTCGATCATTCCTGAGCTGCCTACTCAGAGACAGAATTCAGTTGGTGAGATAGAATTGCCAATCCTGAGGTAGAACAATATGTGGCTTTGTCAGCTCTAACTGAGGAATTCCTCAGTGGAGTCCTAAAAAGTAGTGAATAGAGACAAACTTTCCTTCACTGAAAAACACTACGGAACTAGGAAACCGGGAATGGAGGGAGGAGGCAAGGATCTCTCTGTCCAACTACCTCAAATTTATAATATTCTAGGACATTTTCTAGGGTTTTCCTTCTAGCTCTTCATTGTAACTCGATTTCAAACACTGCCAGTTATCTTTCCAAAATGTTTCTCCAGTTTTTGAATATTTTCTACAGAAATCATCAAGGGTGTCGTCTATCATATCACCTACATAATTACCCTGAGCTATAAAACACTGCACGTAATTAGGTATTTTTATCCTTCCTCATCAATCAGTGCTTCTAAATTTAGTTTGTGGCTTTCATGATTTCCCTTTGCTGAATCTGGATAGGGGTAAAGAGAAAGTTTGCAAGTAACTCAAGAAAAGGCAGGCTCAAATTCCTGATCAAAGTTGTCTGGAAAAAAAAAAAAAAAAAGCACGTTAGAGCAATAGTTAATGTTACTGTTTTCTCTCCTGTAGTATGATTATGGTGACTAATGGCTTGTGAGCCCTGTTGGTTGAGTTCCAGGTCTGCTCAGAGCAAGGCCATGCAGGGACTGTGAAGGAGTGGAGGGCATGTCAGCAAGTACACCCTCACTTTCTAAGGCCATTCTTCACAATGGTTTCCAAGGAGCACTTCAAAACCCTCAAGCTCAGATGGTACACAGCAGCACTTTCTTTCACAATTTTAATTATTTCAGAATGGTAAAATCTCTCTGTGCCTGCTTAGACCAGATTTTAAAGCAAGGCACCAGAGATTTTACTGTCATAATGACAATATAGCTGTCATTATGAGCCTCTGGATGATAAAATATCACATATGAAGACTATAAAGACTATGTATGATGAAACCAAAAAACTATCTAAAATTGATTTGGCTACAAATCAATTTGGAAACAGAGAAGAGAGGAAGGAAGAAAGATTAAAGCCATGGCCATATTGCACATCATTTTCCTGATTGAGAAAAGTAACCATGCTCCTCAGACACAATCTACTGTCAAATATTCCCTTCAACATATTTACCACTG